AGCAAGTTACGATGTGGCACCTTACCCCTTGAAATAGAGGTCGGTAGATTTACACGCCCTAAAACACCTTTAGACGATAGAATTTGTAAATGCTGTGATGGCAATACGATTGAGGACGAAGTTCACTTTTTGGTCAGCTGCCCACTATATTCGGATTTACGATATGATTTGTTGGAAAATGTACTAAATATTAACCCTTTTTTTTCTCTCTTGCCACCTTCCGACCAGGCCAAATATATGCTAGGTAATGTTAAATTAATAAAACCCTTAGCTGCATTAGTTACTAAAATGTTTAATAGACGTAAACGCACTTTGTAGTCATGTAATTAAATATACCACACTCCACTGTTGCTTAGAGAATTGTGAGATTCTATTCTGTTTTAGGTAGAATGTAGTGGCTTGTGTCTCACAGGCCAGATGTTATATTAGAGTCTTATGCTACAACATGTTAAACACAAATTATAACACTCTTTCTTCTTGGTAACCATTTGTAAACGCAGTTTGTAGTCATGTAATTAAATATATATTCCACACTCCAATGTTGCTTACAAAGCTGTGATATTTTATTTACTACTATACTGTTTATAATATAGTGCCTTTACTACTATACTGGATATAATATAGTGCCTTGTGTCTCATAGGCCATATGGCCGGATGTTATATTTTATTGAATGTTTTAAAGTTTATGTATGTTTTATATATAACATGTGACACAAAAATATAAATATTTTCTTCTTCTTCTTCTGATAATCCTGTTTTCCTGAACACGCATACAGACAATAGAAGTATTAGAGAGAGAAGTCGGAGAAGTATGTTTTCATTAAATCCACAGTGTCTCGCCTAACTGGCCGAGCTGGGCAGTAGCAGCCTATTTTCAAATCATCTGATCTTTACATGTTGCATTTGATAACATTACAAGGTGATATTTAGGTAGATATAATACCAATCTATGGATTTTAACACATTTCAAGATACATCTGTGAGGTATAAGGTGCGTTTGAGCGCCCGGGCCAAGCTGCACCGAAAGCTTTTGATACTGTGTCTTTGTTGAGTATGTATAGAAAATAGGACTTCACTTTAAGCAACGTGTTTGCTTCAAATACAACGATTTGAGACTCTATAAAGATGTTTTTAGGTAGATATAAAGCTTGTGATATTCTGTCTTTGTTGAGAATGTATACAAAAATAGGGCTTCACTTTGAGCAAGGCGTTTGCTTCAAATACTACGCTTTGAGACTCTGTGAAGTGAAATATAGGTAGATATAATACTAATCTATGGATTTAAACACATTTCAAGATACATGTGTGAGGTTTAAGGTGTTTTTGACATCACGGGCCAAGTCGGGCTGAACAGAGACTAAACACTTTTAATTGAGACTATATTGTGAATGGAGAGAGAAAAGGGCTTCACTTTAACGGAGCAGTTATCTTTACATGTGACATTTTGTAACATCACACATTGATATTTAGGGAGATATTATACTAATCTATGGATTTAAACACAAATCAAAATACATGCGTGGGGTTTAAGTTGTTTTTGAGAGCCCGGGCCAAGGCGTACCGAACGCTTGTGATACTATTTGTTGAGAATATGTAGAAAAGAGAGCTTCATTTTCAGCAACGTTTTTATTTCAAATACTACGCTTTGAGACTCTGTGAAGTGATATGTAGGTAGATATAACACTCATCTATGGATATATACACATTTCAAGATACATGTGTGAGGTTTAAGTTGTTTTTGACATCACGGGCCAAGTCGGGCCGAACAGAGACTAAACACTTTTGATTCAGGCTATATTGTGAATGGAGAGAGGAAAGGGCTTCAATTTAAGGAACCAGTTATCTTTACATGTGGCATTTTGTAACATCACACATTGATATTTAGGTAGATATAATACCAATCTATGGATTTAAACACATTTCAAGATACATCTGTGAGGTAACAGGTGCGTTTGAGCGCCCGGGCCAAGCCGGACCGAAAGCTTGTGATACTGTGTCTTTGTTGAGAATGTATAGAAAATAGGGCTTCACTTTGAGCAAGGTGTTTGCTTCAAATACTACGCTTTGAGACTCTGTGAAGTGATATGTAGGTAGATATAACACTCATCTATGGATATATACACATTTCCAGATACATGTGTGAGGTTTAAGGTGTTTTGACAGCACGGGCCAAGTCGGGCTGAAGAGAGACTAAACACTTTTGATTGAGGCTATGTTGAGAATGGAGAGAGAAAAGGGCTAACTTTAACGAACCAGTTATCTTTACATGTAGCATTTGATAACATTACAAAGTGATATTTAGGTAGATATAATACCAATCTATGGATTTAAACACATTTCAAGATACATCTGTGAGGTAACAGGTGCGTTAAAGCGCCCGGGCCAAGCCGGACCGAAAGCTTTTGATACTGTGTCTTTGTTGAGAATGTACAGAAAATAGGGCTTCACTTTGAGCAAGGTGTTTGCTTCAAATACTACGCTTTGAGACTCTGTGAAGTGATATGTAGGTAGATATAATACTAATCTATGGATATAAACACATTTCAAGATACATGTGTGAGGTTTAAGTTGTTTTGACATCACGGGCCAAGTCGGGCTTAACAGAGACTAAACACTTTTGATTGAGGCTATGTTGTGAATGGAGAGAGAAAAGGGCTAACTTTAACGAACCAGTTATCTTTACATGTAGCATTTTGATAACATTACAAAGTGATATTTAGGTAGATATAATACCAATCTATGGATTTAAACACATTTCAAGATACATCTGTGAGGTAACAGGTGTTTTTGAGAGAGTGCCGGGCCAAGCCGGACCGAACGCTTGCTTGTGATACTGTGTCTTTGTTGAGAATGTATAGAAAAGAGGGCTTCACTTTGAGCAAGGTGTTTGCTTCAAATACTACGCTTTGAGACTCTGTGAAGTGAAATGTAGGTAGATATAATACTAATCTATGGATATAAACACATTTCAAGATACATGTGTGAGGTTTAAGTTGTTTTTGACATCACGGGCCAAGTCGGGCTTAACAGAGACTAAACACTTTTGATTGAGACTATATTGTGAATGGAGAGAGAAAAGGGCTTCACTTTAACGGAGCAGTTATCTTTACATGTGGCATTTTGTAACATCACACATTGATATTTAGGTAGATATAATACCAATCTATGGATTTAAACACATTTCAAGATACATCTGTGAGGTATAAGGTGCATTTGAGTGCCCGGGCCAAGCCGGACCGAAAGCTTTTGATACTGTGTCTTTGTTGAGAATGTATAGAAATAGGGCTTCACTTTGAGCAAGGTGTTTGCTTCAAATACTACGCTTTGAGACTCTGTGAAGTGAAATGTAGGTAAATGTAATACTAATCTATGGATTTAAACACAAATCAGAATACATGTGTGGGGTTTAAGTTGTTTTTGAGACCCCGGGCCAAGGCGTACCGAACGCTTGTGATACTGTTTGTTGAGAATATGTAGAAAAGAGAGCTTCACTTTCAGCAACGTTTTTATTTCAAATACTACGCTTTGAGACTCTGTGAAGTGATATGTAGGAAGATATAATACTAATCTATGGATATAAACACATTTCAAGATACATGTGTGAGGTTTAAGTTGTTTTTGACATCACGGGCCAAGTCGGGCTTAACAGAGACCAAACACTTTTGATTGAGGCTATGTTGAAAAATGTGAGACAAGGGCTTCACTTTAACGGAGCAGTTTTCTTTACATGTGGCATTTTATAACATTACAAAGTGATATTTAGGTAGATATCATACCGGTCTATGGAATTAAACACATTTCAAGATACGTGTGTTACGTTTAAGCTGCTTTTGACGGCTCGAGCCAAGCCGAGCGGAAAATTGTGGCCGAGATAATGTTGAGAGTGTGGGGAAGAGATCGTATCATTTAAATGTGGGCATGCTTTAAATACGATGAACAGTGAATTTATGGGGTGGTATGTGATTGGATATAGATGTTAAATCATTTTCGGGCCGACGGAAATGTGTATCGGAATTGGCTGAAGTATTTATACGTATTAAATCCCGTTTCATTTAACGATTCCACTTTTATACGTAACCTCGGTCAGCCAGTTCACAGGCTTCTCGTCTTCCTGGGTTTTAGCTGATTTACTCGTAATAAAGTTATTATGGTACGCGTTTGTGGCTTCCGATTGATCATTATTATCATGAGTGTAAGTTGCATTGATTAATTGTAGGCATGGTTTTTGTTAATGGGTTTATTAGCCAATAATAGATTTGGCCCGCCTTGGCTCGGCCCGGCCCGACCCGACTTTTAGGCCATCCCATTTCTAACCACGACAGGGAACCATTATGTTTTTTACTTATTGTTACCTAGACAGGGATATTTACAAGGAGAATAATCAATTTCAGACTTAGCAACAGTTCCAACTAGAGTCATCAGAAGATGACAAATCCCCCCGGCCCCACATATTTGAAAGAACAAATCATCTGGCAGTTACTTAAAGTCCAACTTGGTTTTTTTAGACTACATCCAAATCCCTTCCATGGAAATCAGAGATGAAAAATATAATTTTCTATAAATATACTCTGCTGAAGTTCTGTTGAAATATATTGAAAGGTTTTCAACTTGTGACTCGGACACAAAATCCACCCCTTCTTTTTGAGACTAAGTCCAAATCGTTTTCATGGAAACCGAGAAAAAATACAAATGACGGAAATCTGTAAATAGCAAAAGGCAGCACTTTGGGATCTACTTCAATTTAACTTGTGGAAACTCTGGCAGATTTTGGTTTTTAGTTACATGTAGCAGAATTGTTTTACTTCAGCAAACATTACGGATAGTTCAGTATAAATTTCATTAAATAACGTTTTCCCATTGAAAACAACTTAAAATTGTAGGGTAAAGGGTTTCCAGAAGCAGGATGCTGCTCAAGAATTAAAATACCTAACATAACATAAATCAAGAAGAAATAGAAATAAAGATAGAGATTTCTTTATACAAGATTTCTTCCCGCTTGCTAATTCAAACTTATGAACTTGGGCTTATCTCAGTGTCCGGTTGTCTTGAAAGTCCAGTTGGGTTTCAGAGATGGTTCCTGTTACAGAAAACAAAAAAACATATGACAGCAGTGTATTTTACCCCGAGCCCTCCCAATGAAAATAACTTCAGCATAAGGCATCCATGCTTCATTTATTCCAGGAAGGTTAATTGTACATGGTAAATGGTGGCAAGGAAACAACAGGCAGAGATATATACTTCGTGACTAATTGCATAAATGTTGACCTAAATGTGACAGTGAGGTCTTAGTTATAAAGAAATGGCAAAATTCACAGATATTACATGTCATGTGACTAAAACTTTACCATGAGTTTACGAACAATGCCTTGAGTACTTACACTATGGTAGCCTGCAGTTTGTTAGATTTAGCAACTCTGAGTTGCGCCTCTACATGGTACATAAAGCAAACTTTGGCACAGAAGAGCATTCCTGGATACCACAAAAAAAAACAACTAACCTCTGAATGTAATGTAGCATGTTGAGGGAATGGATTCATATTGTATGAGTTGAAATAATCTGATTACTTACGTTTTCTTCTCAATATACTTGAAATGAATTCTTTTCTTTGTCATGTCACTAAATTCAATTAGCACATATTCTGAAAAACATGAAAAACACTTTCAGTCTTTTCATTTCAGGTATAAACACATTCAACATGCTTTAGAAATATATTAGACACAATAACAATGTAAGGTTTATAATAGATATGAATTATAATTTGAATATATAGGCTATTTGTATAATGTGAGAAATACCTCCATCAACACGCTCAACATGGCCAGGGTATCGAGCTGCTCTGTGCACCAACCATGGAGCCTCAACCTTGTCACCAGTCTTCAACTAAATCAAACATGTACAATATGTGTATTTATTCTCGTAGGCTTTCACGAATTGTAAAACATCACAGTGAAAATCTCAAGCAATATAAATATGTAGCTTCTTCACAGCTCTTGAGGTTAAAGTGATATAAACATTTACATATACATCTAAAGGAAATACATTGTACTCACTGAAGAAGACATACCTCAAACCTGACCTTTGTTGAAAGCCCCTCATCCAAGTTATAACCAGTCCAATGTATTTTAACTCTTTCCTTCTGTACTGACAATACTTTGGCTTTATACCTGTTTTTAATCAAGATAAAAAGAATTATGATTTATGGAAACAAGAAGGTTCACACAAATATTTATCTCCACTGTTTTGTTTTAACTTAAGAATGCTCCACTGACATTTTCCTGGTTTCTTATTTAGTCGATATGACAGCAGAAAAGAAAGTGTATGCATGTTCTTCCAAAATAAACAGTTAACCTTAAAGTCCTATCAACCACTAAACACTTTCTACCTGGAAAAATTAACACCTCTTTTTAATTTCAATACTGAAATGTCTATATCCTTCTTGAACAATAACTTTCACTACAGACTATAGCTCAAGTAACTACTAGGGCAGAAATGAAGTAACTGTAGTAATAACCAGAGAGATGGGAATTATCTTTGCTAGATTCAAACCTATCAAATTTGTTGTTGTAGATTTGCCAAATATGCAGAATCGCTTCAGGTATGAAAAATAAACACTGCAATTCTTTGAGCGACACAAAAAGTGTTATCCTTCAAGAAGTTTCTGAATGAAAGAGGGTCCGACTATTGATTTTGAGTCAAATGATGATCAGTACCTCAGCAAATCTATCTGAAAATAATCATAAGAATTGATGTAACTCAATCATGCAATTGTGATGATTTCCAAATATGTAATTTTGTGAGTAAAATTGATATTTTATACTTATCCTGACTCATGCTCTTTTGCTTGTCCCCTTCCTCTTGCGAACATAGTGGAACACTTGTATCTCCTTAATTGAAGCTCCCTTCAATGTAAAATCACTAATTGGTACTCACCCAAGAGTTACCTCCCCTGCCGTAAGCGCGGGAATAGGTGTCGCCACCCTCTGGCCTCATGCTTCACTCTCTCCTGATTTTGCGAGCCCAACACTTGAATTTACAGGGAAATCCAAAGTGTTATGTGGGGAGGATGGGAGGGCTAACCTCATGAGTCAGGATAAGTATAAAATATCAATTTTACTCAAAAAATTACATATTTTTCCTTATCCTGACTCATGCTCTTTTGCTTGTAGAATCCACCGGAGTGGTGGTGGGTAAAACAGAATACTTTGGATTATAATTAGATTTAAATAAGTGATATTGTAATAACCCCTGCGGGAACTTCATAAGGCATTGACTTAGGATATTTCCTTTATAATAAGCCATAGGATATATATTACTATAAGTGGGGTATTACATTACTAATATACTGATATACCAATATATATATAAAATGCTACTCTAATAGAGAAGCTGTACACTGAATATAACTCAGTATGAGCTTAAGGTTGAATAACCTAAGCTAAATATATACATAGCCCTAGAACTCCGTGGAGTTATAAGCTAATTAATATATGCATAATATACATAATAATCTCGTGGGGGTGAATATTAACGCCTACGAGGGACTGTCAGTTGCTGAGCGAGGACCAAAGGACCGAAATGGTGAATGCCAGAGACGTCCTCGGTGGTGATATCTCTCAGATAGTGATTAGCAAACACCATGTTAGATTTCCAGAAGCATCCTTCCTTAATTGTATTTAATGAACAGTTACCGTGAAGGGCGAGGGTGGAGGCCAATGCCCTGATTTCATGTGGACTTGATGCTGTTGGAGGGTCCAGTCCTGCTGCCTTATAGGCGCGTAGAATGACAGTTCTTATCCATATAGATATGGTGGTACGAGAGACTTCTGTCTGATTTGTAGGCGATAACGGGATGAACAATCTTCTGAGCGATCTTCGCCTTGTTTTGGAACGAGGTAAATAGATTATGAGAGCTCGTACTGGGCATAGAGATAAGTCCAATGTATCTTGAGATCCGAGAATCAAGGATAGTGCAGGGACGTGAAATAACCTGTCTGGTTGACCTGGTAGTTGATTTTTGGCGATGAAATCCCATCTTAATCCCTGGTGCGCTGTGTTTTGATTGTCATCAAACTGTATCCTCTCATAATCTAGAGCGTGAATTTCAGATATTCTGGCTGCCGTGGCTAGCGATAACAGGAAAACTGTTTTCTGTGAGAGAAATTCAAAAGTTGTCGATTCCAATGGTTCATAATCCTCACTTGTGAGGTGTTGTAACACTACATTCAGATCCCAAGCTGGGGCGTGGAACTTCCGCTTTTGGTCCTCCAATCGGAAAGCACGTAGTAAGGCCAGTAACTCTGGTGTTTTTGTCAATTTAACACCCGTTCTCATAGAAATCACAGAACTAAGCGCGGCAAGATATGTTGACAATGTCGAGCCTTTTAAATGTTTGTTTTGGCGTAGGTAACACAAATAGTCTGCCACTTGAGGATGCGTAGCATCTCTTGCTGTAAAACCCTTGTTTGCTGCATAATTTTCGAAACTTTGCCACTTGTCATCGTACAAGTTACGCGTTGAGTATCGTAAGGCAAGCGTGACCGCTTTTGCCGCCCTGGTAGAATATCCTCTCTTGTTTAAACACATTTTAATACAGTCCATACGTGAAGTTTGAATACTTCTGGGTTTCTGTGCACCTGTTTGGTGTGTGGATGTATTAACAGCTTTGAGCGCTTGGGTAGCTCTAGTGCCGGTTGACCGATTTCTTGTATTAGAGCGGGAAACCGAGTTCTGGCCGGCCAGTAGGGCACGACCAAAATGAGTTGTAGGCTCTGTGTTTGGCTGATTTTCTGTAATACTTGAGGTATTATTGCTGGGGGCGGAAACGCGTACGCATTGAGGCCTTCCCATGATATGCTTAGAGCGTCTGTTGCCCATGCTTGTGGGTCTGGCACTGGTGACACGAATGTCGGTAGTTGATTGTTGAACCTTGTGGCGAATAGATCTACTAGCGGCGCTCCTATTTGCTTGATTATCTGTGCAAATATCTCTGTATTGAGCATCCATTCTGTCGGCGACGGTAGATGTGGCCGAGAGAGTGCGTCTGCTAGTATATTCCTGGCTCCGGGAATGTGGCATGCTTTGACATGTAGATTTAGATCTTGGATTAATTCGAACAGTTGAAAGGTTAAAGTCAAAAGGTTCGGCGATCTCGTTGAGCCTTGCCTGTTCACATAAAACGCCACTGTCGAGTTGTCGGTATGTATCATCAGGTGCGCATTCTGTAGAATGTTGCTCCAATGTCTTATGGCGTTGATTACAGCTTTCATCTCTAATGCGTTTATGTGGAGTTTGCTTTCTAGCTGATTCCATAACCCTGATGTCGTCTGGTTGGTGAGATGAGCTCCCCAACCTTGGAGCGACGCGTCTACATATAGATGGGTTTTGAATTCCTGCTCTGCTAAACAAATCCCTTCGCAGACATTCGATTTCTTTGTCCACCATAGTAGATGAGGTCTGAGATGTTTCGGTAGACTGAATGGTTGTAGGTCGTCGAGATGTGTGTTGATGAAGACCTGTAAGGGACGTAACTGTAATCTGCCTATGACTGTCAAGTCTTGGGCTGATGTTAGAAGACCTAGTAAGCTCTGCCATTGTCGAAGTGGTAGCGGAGAGAGTAGAGCTGGAGGAATGATCTGTTGGATCTTGAGCCAACGGTCTTCTGGTACGACTATACGGTTGAGATTGGTGATAAATCGAATGCCTAGGAATTGCAGATCTTGCGATGGTACTAGGTCCGACTTGTGTAAGTTTACTAACCATCCCAGCTGTGTTAGTAGCTTTATGATGTAGTTTAACTGTAGTTTGAGATGCTGTGGATCTTGATCTACTTGTATCCCGTCGTCGAGGAAGAACGCACTGCGTAGCCCTTGACGATGTAGATAGGTGACAATCGGTTTCGTTATCCTCGTGAATAACCATGGGGCTGATGCTATTCCGAATGGGAGTACTTTCCACTGGTAATGTAACCCGTCTAGTGTAAACCGTAGGTATTTCCTGGATTCGGGATGTATAGGGATGTGCAGATAAGCATCTTGTAGATCTATACTGCCCATGTAGTCCATGGGGCGAATCATGTGCCGTAACTGCGGTAGATGTATCATGCTGAACCTGGGTGGTCTGCTTAGATAAGTCTTGTTGAAGAAGCTCATGTTGTAAATGAGTCTGTATTTCTCCTTGGAGTTTTTCTTGGGTACTAGGAAAACTGGGGAGTAGAAACCTGGTTCGATGTTTCCTTGATCTATTACTTCTATGGCCTGCTTGGTTAGGAGTAATGTAACAGCCTCTCTTAACTTTAGTGGTTGCTGTGCCTGTACCTCGAACTTGTGAGGGTTGACTGTTAGTGGAGGCTTGGCCTGTAGTGGGATACGAAATCCGCGTTGAAGAATGTTGGAGACATAGGTGTCTTGAAGTATTCCCCAGTTTTCCCAGTGTAGTTGGAGACGTCCACCCACTTGTGACGGTTGTACTGGAACGGCTGGGGGTGGAAGACTCCAGTCGTTCCGAACCTGTCTTTCAGCGTTTATAGTTGCGGGAACCTCTGGGTGTCCTGCCTCTTCCTGACCCTCCTCTATAGTTGCCATATGGGCGACGAAAAGAATCTCTTCCCCTGGAACTGGCAATCTTCCTGTCTCTTGCTCTTTGTAGGCCCGTGAATTTAGATCTCCCTGAGTATCTTTGTGAAGTCTGTCGAATGACACTGGCTAGCGTGTCCATCGATTTAATCATCAGGACTTCTCTGGAATCCTTGGTGACTTCCTTGGAGACTCTGTCTATTCCTCCGTCAAAGATGGATGGGGAAGACCACGGGGCTGTATATAGAGGAGCTGTAAAGTTCTCACCCTAGTTGCAGGAAGCGAGGAGGCCTTGACGACGAGCTAAGGTCAGTGCTGCTGAGACAGACGTGAGATGATCTGTTAAGAACTGCTGGTCCTTCTTTTGCATCAGTAGGGCCGAGTAAATCATTCTATCATCTTCAGAGGTCGTGTTCCGAAATCTGGTGATAAGTGTCTCATTTATTGTTCTAGATCTATTTAGACCAAAGAACATACGCCTCGTCATGGTTTCTATCTGAACCAATTTTCAATCATCAATCTTGTAGTACTTGTTCTTGGCATCGGAGATCAGCTTGTAGTTCTCATCGATGTCTTGCGCTTTGAAGAAGGGGTCCATATTATGCGTGGAGAACTTCTTGGCGTGGAAGTTTGGCAGATGTGGCGTCTGAACCTTCGTGGCTTTGTTAAATGCTGTATCTAGGTTCTGTGGTACCGCCGCAATCGGGTCGATTGGGGGTAGTGTAATAGCATCTGCATCGTCTTCTTTCATCAGATAAGTCTGCGCCGAATTGCCACTCTTGGAAGGTGATGAGAGATCTAGATTATTGACCATCCAATATCTTATCTCTGCATCTGAGAAAATAATTCCTCCATCATCATAAATGAGAGGTTGTTGCTCTTCTGATGTAGGGCTGTGTGGCTCTATCTCTATATCGTTTGACGCTTGTGGAGATCTAGTTGTAGGCTTATGTGCAGACCTGTGAGGTGATCGACGTGGTGATGTACGTGGAGATCGGCGTGGTGATCGGCGAGGCGATCGTCTTGGTGATCTACATTGATAGGTTGATCTTCTTGGCGACCTATGAGGGGACCGTTGGTAGCTTCGCGAATCTCTTGTGTAGTCCCTCGATGTCCTTTTAGATGATGACGATCTGGGTTCAGGTGTCCTTCGCGAAGCTTCGCTCTGCGTCCGGTCCTGGGGAACGGTGATATGACCTTCGCGAAGGCTTCCGTGTGGTCTGATGATCAGATTCCGTATCTGAGTATGACGCCGAAGAAGGTGATGATCTTTCCCGCCTTCGCGAAGGCTGTACATCTGGGTCCTTCGTCGAGGTGGTCTGTGACTTCCTTCGCGAAGGCTGCATCGTCGTGGCTGCTACGTTGACAGGGGGTGCCTCTGGGGTGCTGTCTACGTTGGAGCCTTCGCGAAGGCTCAGACCCTGGGATGGCTGCTTCTCCAGTCTGTAGTGGCCTTCCATCATGATCATGATCTGCTTCATTAGATCGTCTGGGATGATCTGCGACGTAGTAGATGGTGCCCTCTCTGCGGTGCTAGCGGTGGGGCCCTCAGCGATCTCGTCTGACATCAGTGTAGAGGCATCAGGCTGCATGGTGATCTCTGCTGAAGTCACTGTCGCTGTCACTGGTCGCTTCTTGTGGCGTATGTCGGGTATGATGATAGGCTGGTCATCGTAGAGGCCCAATTCTGCTGCTGGAACGATCTCGGCTGAGAAAGTTCTCGATGACTTCGTAGATTTCCCTTTGGAGGATGACGCTGCCCTGGGGGTACGAAGTCTGCGTTGAGAAGACGTTGAGGCCCTCTTGGACTTTGTCTGCGATGACGGGATGTCTTGGGAGGCCGGTGGCTTCTTAGAGGTGACGGACTGCATCCCACGTCCCTCTTCCGATGGGGTCTCAAGCAGAACACCAGACGGGAGGGGATCGCTCGACAGCAGCTGACTGGATGGGCAATCCGAAGTATCGGCCATGTCTACACCTAGTTTGCGTGACCTATCTGCAACACGTCTCAAGACGCAAAGATGGTATTTATTAAAGGCAGAATTGGTTAAATTAATGCAGTAACTGCAACGTGAATCAAACGCACAAGGCGTAGTACAACTAGGGCATACTACATGCGGATCCGCAGCGGAAAAACGTAATCTACAAATAGTACAGTTTTTCATCAACGTAAAACTAGCTGAACAATCACGAACTCACGTGAATAAACAGTAGAAATACGATTAATTATCAATGCAAATAACTGAAGGATACTAGCTATACCTTTATAGTAAACTATAATAGGTAACTAACTAAGAAAAACCAAAGGATATAGTGTGTAAGGAGACACAGGCGCTCTCACATCCTGCTCACTGGGCGAAGAAGGAGAGAGTGAAACATGAGGCCAGAGGGTGGTGACACCTATTCCCGCGCTTACGGCAGGGGAGGTAACTCTTGGGTGAGTACCAATTAGTGATTTTACATTGAAGGGAGCTTCAATTAAGGAGATACAAGTGTTCCACTATGTTCGCAAGAGGAAGGGGACAAGCAAAAGAGCATGAGTCAGGATAAGGAAAAATGTAAAGTTTCTTTGAACAATGATGACAATTATAACACACCAAAAGCCGTCATCTTCTAATGCCTCCACAATCATTCCAACCTTGAATTTGCAGGGGGGTATCTATGGACAAAATCTGTGATATGCATGGTTAGTAAAATGGACTAGTCAGCTCACTGTTATTTTTTGTAGTCTATTTTCAGAGTTTTTCAATTAAAAATCCACCAAGAAATATCTTTCACACAAGTTGCTTGAAACAATTATACTGATGATCCATAATATATACTGGGTGCTGTGTGACAATAAGTCATAGCTAATAACACTGATACTGATGATCCATAATATATACTGGGTGCTGTGTGACAATAAGTCATAGCTAATAACACTGATACTGATGATCCATAATATATACTGGGTGCTGTGTGACAATAAGTCATAGCTAATAACACTGATACTGATGATCCATAATATATACTGGGTGCTGTGTGACAATAAGTCATAGCTAATAACACCGATACACCAACCAGCACTAACACAGTATTGTCCGTCATTGAACCATCTATTTCTTCTTGCTAATGTTTATTTGTCATCTATATATTGGCAACTATGTACAGCAGGGGATGATTCCAATGCAAACAAGTGATTTAACAGGCTCCGCCATCTGGCTGCACCATGTTTTCAACAATCCTATAGTTATCACTGACATGGATGATTCTTTAACAGGTGTGTGAGGGATATTCTTGGGCAATTTCACTCTCTCCATAAAGTTCACATTACTTGATGTCTGACGCATGTCTTGATAGATGTTTGCAATTAAACTAACATGTTCATTCGTAAGTTTAATTCCATTTCTGCACAGCAAAATCCACTTGTCCACCATTACAAGTATATTTCTCCTCTGACACAGTGACCCCTGACCTTCCATGAAATGTCACTAGATGCCATGCAGTTGTGGTGGAACATGTTACCTGCACTGAAAAAATGTAATTTTTAGAGTAAAATTGATATTTTATACTTATCCTGACTCATGCTCTTTTGCTTGTCTTCTTCTTCTTCTTGTAACTTAGTGGAAACACTTGTATCTCCCTAATTGAAGCTCCCTTCAATGTAAAATCACTAATTAGTACTCACACCACGAGTTACCCCTTTCCACAAGCTGGAAACGAGGGCTTCACCTTCACCCATGTGCCTCACTCTCTCCTCATATACTGAGCCCAACATTTGAATTTACAGGGAAATCCAAAGTGTTATGTGGGGAGGATGGGAGGGAAAGCTGATTCATGAGTCAGGATAAGTATAAAATATCAATTTTACTCTAAAAATTACATATTTTCCCTTATCCTGACTCATGCTCTTTTGCTTGTAGAATCCTACGGAACGGAGGTGGGAGTAATAGAATACTTTGGATTTTAATAATTAGTGATTTGATCTGTGATGATTGTAATAACCCTATGGGAACTTCATAAAGGCACTGAACTGATGAATTCCTGCTGCTAACTTATCAGCTGCCATATAAAGGTTATTACAATGTACTTATTATGATAAAGTATATATAACATTAATACAATGCTTAAGACTGATAGACTTAAATTTGTTAATATGCTAGTATAAACTCCTTAGAGTTTGTTAGCTAAAATACTTTAAGATATAAACATAGTACTAAGCTTAAGATATGATTAAACTTAAGCTAATTATATAATAGCAAAACTCTTTAGAGTTTGTTAGTTAATATACTTATATGATATAGATATAATGCTGAGCTTAAGATATGAATAAGCTTTGGCTACATATATAATAGCAGAACTCTGTAGAGTTTGTTAGCTAATATATTTTTATAATATGAGTATAATACTGTGCTTAAGATATAATTAACTTAAGCTACATATATAATAGCAAAACTCTGTAGAGTTTGTTAGCTAATATATTTTTACAATATGAGTATAGTACTGTACTTAAGATATAATTAACTTAAGCTACATATATAATAGCAAAACTCTGTAGAGTTTGTTAGCTAATATATTTTACAATATGAGTATAGTACTGTGCTTAAGATATAATTAACTTAAGCTACATATACAATAGCCAAAAACTCTGTAGAGTTTATTAGCTAATAGATTTATAATGTAACTATAGTACTAAGCTTAAGATAAATTTAGACTTAAGCTAAATGTATATAGTAAAAACTCCTTAGAGTTTATTAACTAATATACTTTTATGTTATAAACATAGTACTGAGCTTAAGATATGATTAAACTTAAGCTATATATATAATAGCAAAACTCCGTCGAGTTTTGTTAGGTAATACATTTTATAATGTAACCATACTGCTTAAGATATGATGAAACTTAAGCTAATTGTATAATAGCAAAAAAAACTCTTTAGAGTTTGTTAGCTAAAATACTTATATGATATAAACCTAGTATTGAGCTTATGAAGGAAAACTTAAGCTACATATATAATAGCAAAAACTCCGTAGAGTTTGTTAGCTAATACATGTTATAATGTAACCATAAAGCTTAAAATATGATGAAACTTAAGCCAAATATATAATAGCAAAAACCTCTTTTAGAGTTTTGATAGCTAATATACCTATATGATATAAACATAGTACTGCGCTTAAGATATGAATAAGCTTAAGTTACATATATAATAGCAAAAACTCTGTAGAGTTTGTTAGCTAATACATGTTATAATGTAACCATAAAGCTTAAAATATGATGAAACTTAAGCCAAATATATAATAGCAAAAACCTCTTTTAGAGTTTTGATAGCTAATATACCTATATGATATAACATAGTACTGCGCTTAAGATATGAATAAGCTTAAGTTACATATATAATAGCAAAACTCTGTAGAGTTTGTTAGCTAATACATGTTATAATATAACCATATTGCTTAGAATATGATGACACTTAAGCCAAATAGCAAAAAACTCTTTAGAGTTTGTTAGCTAATATACTTATATGATATAAACGTATTACTAAGCTTAAGATATGAATAAGTTTAAGCTACCTATATAATAGCAAAACCCGGAGAGTTTGATAGCTAATATATTTTTATAATATGAGTATAGTACTATGCTTAAGATATAAATAACTTAAGCTACGTATATAATAGCCAAAAACTCTGTAGAGTTTGTTAGCTAATGCATTATCATGTTACCATAGTACTACTCTTAAGATATGATTAACTTAAGGTAAATATATAATAACAAACTCTGTAGAGTTGTTAACTTATATATTGTATGATGTAATAATCATAGTACTGTGATGATAAAAGGAACTTAAGCAAATTATATATAGCATGTAGCTATTTAGTACTGTTATAAGATAAGTAGAAATCTGTAAGATTGACTTATCTTCTCCGAGGAACTGTCAATTGTTGTGCGAGGACCATGGGATCGAATTGGTGGATACCTGAGACGTCCTCGGTGGTGATATCTCTCAGATAATGGTTGGCAACCACCATATCGGATCTCCAGAAATAAACCTCCATTATTCCAAAAACATTTGTGTAAATCAATTGTAGAAGTTAACGTTCTAATATCATGAGTATTAAAGCTCATGGAGGGTCGGATTGGGTCCATCCGTCTTGTATGCACATAGTATGACAGTTCTGATCCAACGGAGATATAGTACGTGAGACTTCATTCTGCCTACGCTTGAAGATAGAGGAAATAATCTGTTGCATTTTCCTTCCTGTTTGGTTCGGTGGAGATAAATTTACAGTGCTCTTGCTGGCCATCGATAGAATCATCATCGTATCATGGAGCCCAAGCATGTTATCCAGGCGTGTTCATAAACCTCACTTGTGAGGTGTTGGAGTACTATATTCAGATCCCCAAGTTGGAGCGTGAAATTTCCGCTTTAATTCTCCAATCAGAAGCTTAAGTAGGTTTACTAACCATCCAGTTGTGTTAGTAGCTTGATGATTAAATTCAACTGTAGTCTGAGACGCTGTGGGTTTAGATCAACTTGTATCCCGTCGCCTAGGTAATTCGCTGCAGGTTCTTGACGATGTAGGTGCACAACCAGGTGTGTCTGTCCTCGCTGAACTTTATGTAAATTCGCCTGACTGCCGTGGTTTCGCCCTAACTTGACAGGGGAGGCCTCTAACCTGAAGAAAGCAGCCCAATCATGAAGGTTCAGGTTAACTGGACTGTAAGGAGGCTTGCTCGCTCACTGATATATAGTTGTCACTTGTGACGTAAGTCTTGAACTGTGAATTAAGATCGACCTCTCATGTAGGTCGCTGTCCATCGCGGTCCAATCAGAACAAGGCATTTTGATTCTGTAGAATACCCGCTGTGATGTCACCGTGTAGCAGGAAAACCCTTGTATAAAATCTTGCCGCCGCTGATATTAGCATAATCGCCGGTCTTCACCGTAGCTTCCCCGGTTACCCGAAAGTGACCACGCGTTTCGAGGGTTAATGGTAAACGCTACAAACCTTCGCGCAAATACCTCGCCTGTAATATTAATGCTGGGTAGGTTATTTTCCTGGCTGTCGTGGAAAGTAACTTCAGTTTGAATCTAATTCACTTCCTTATATAAAGGTACAATAACCTTGCAAGTTGTCAGCTTGTAGACTGTATACATGAATGTATCGCCATAATTGTAGAATTAAAGCTGAACTTGTTGTACATATTTCTTCTCAGAAAAGTTGACGATTATGAGTTATACTCGCTGTAACAAGGCTGCTGTTCAATTTCAATATTGAATTGTCTGCAGATATGCGTAATGGTCACGCATGTAGATAATCGTATCGTCGTCCGGGATTGCATATTCTAGCCATCTATAATGAACAGTTGATTTCTGTGAAGATCTATGAAACGCCGCTGACTAATTAATACAGCGACGCTCTGTGTTGTAAATAGCCTGTGCAATTGTCTTCGCCAGGGCTTATAGATGGCATCTGGCATACAGTTGATAGACAACTTATGCGATGTCTTGAACGGACTGACGAAAGTAGCTATATATGACGAAAGTGGCTAGTATATGGAGACCTTGGAGGAGACTTCCTCGGTGAACTCTGGAGACTTCGCGGCTCTCAAGTATCCCTTCTGGGTGAAGTAGACTTGAGTTACTTAGCCTTCGCGACCTTCGCGAAGGTATCGAAATCAAACCCCGATTAGTATATATATATATATATATATATATATATATGAATGCTTGAACGCTTCGCTTAACGCCTCTGTGTTTAACAGGATGCGGGTCGGGCGGCTCTACTCCTCCGCGATGTCCCTTGTAGCTGGTGAGGCTCTAGCTCCTTCGCGGAGGCAGCCTGGGACTTGCTGGTTCTGCATAAGTAGGGCCGAGTGGATCATCTTATCATCTTCAGAAGTCGTGTTACGAAGTCTGGTGATAAGTGTCTCATTGATCGTTCTAGATCTATTTAGGCCAAGAACATACGTCTCGTCATGGATTCAACTGAACCAATTTACGATTGTAGTTCTTATTCTTGATATTGATGATCAACTTGTCTATGGGTTGATTTTCTCGGGAGACTTGTGAGGAGAACGTTGATAGCTTCGCGAAGCTCTTGTGTAGTCCCTCGATGTCCTTCTAGATGATGATGATCTGGATTCAGGTGTCCTTCGCGAATGCCTTCGCGAAGCTTCCTCTGCGTCCGGTCCGGGGGAACGACGATATGACCTTCGCGAAGGCTTCCGTGATGTCTGATGGTCCGAGTCCACATCTAGGGATGAAACCGAAGAAGGTGATGATCTATCCCGCCTTCGCGAAGGCCTTCGCGAAGGCTGTACATCTAGGTCCTTCGTCAAGGTGGTCCGTGACTTCCTTCGCGAAGGTGACATCGTCCTGGCTGCTACGTTGACGGGGGGTGCCTCTGGGGTGCTGTCTACGTTGGAGCCTTCGCGAAGGCTCGGTCCCTGCTTCTGCAGTCTGTAGCGATCCTCCATCATGGTCATAATTTGCCGCATCAGGTCCTCAGGGATGGACTGCGACGAGGTCGTCGGTGCCTTATCTGCGGTGTTAATGGAGGGGTCCACAGGAATATCGTCCGACATCAGTGTAGAGGCATCAGGCTGCATGGTGATCTCTGCTGATGTCATTGTAGCTGTCACCGGTCGCTTCTTGTGGCGTATGTCGGGGATGATGATCGGCTGATCATCGTAGACGTCCAGGTCTCGGCTGGAACAATCTCGGTTGAGAAAGTCCTAGTAGACTTCGTTGATTTCCCCTCAGATGTCAACGCTGCCCTCGGTGTGCGACGTCTGCGTTGAGTGTTGGTAGCGATGGGACCCTCAGGAAGATCATCGAATATCAGCGTTGGTACATCAGGCTGCATGCTGATCTGCGCTGACATCACTGTTGCCGACATCGGTCATTCTTTTGATGTACATCAGGTATGATGATCGGCTGATCATCATACAGGCCCAAATCCGGCTGTAGAGATGTAGTAGAAAACCTCTAGTCTACGGCTGCGACGATGGGATGTCTGGGGAAGCAGGACGCTTCTTGGAGATGGCGGACTACGTCCCACGCCTCTCCACCACTCTAGCGGAACACCACACGGGAGGGGGGTCGGCCAACAGCAGTAGACTGGCGAGGGGTTCAGGTGTATCAGTCATACTAGACTCTGCATACGCGACCTATCTGCTGCGCGTCTCAAACGCAAAGTAAATATTAATAAAAGGTAGAATTGGATAAATTAGTACCGCAACTGCAATGTGAATAAAATGAACATGGCGCAGTACAACTAAGGCATATTAAAAGCGGATCAGCAGCAGAATAAAAACCGTAATCTGCAATAGTACAAAATTTTCATCAACGTAATCCACTGAAACAAACACGGCGTCCCGTGAATAAACTGTAGAAAAACGACTAAATATCAATATATAATCGTTGAAGGATACTAGCTAAACCTCTATAGATGTCTATACGAGGTAACTAACTAAATATAAATCAAAGGATATAGTGTCGGGAGACACAAGCGCTCTCACGTCCAGCTCACTGGGCGAAGAAGGAGAGAGTGAGGCACATGGGTGAAGGTGGCGCCCTCGTTTCCCGCGCTTGTGGAAAGGGGGTAACTCGTGGTGAGTACTAATTAGTGATTTTACATTGAAGGGAGCTTCAATTAGGGAGATACAAGTGTTTCCACTAAGTTCGCAAGAAGAAGAAGACAAGCAAAAGAGCATGAGTCAGGATAAGGAAAAATGGTGCATTTAATCAGAACATAGCAGAAAATGAACAAATCCCCAAAATTGAAACACCATGCTTGTTGTTTTCTCGTTTAGTTTAGTTCTCTATCTTTATTAAAGGATTTAAATTAATATTAAATATATTAAGTGTAATTACCTTTCTACCCATTCTTGATGCTCTTCCTTTGTAAGATATCACCTGAAAATGATGCCAAAACTTACATGAACTGCTTTTTTCAAGCCAGAAAGAAACATAAATTGGATGAAGTGTAACATAATATGTATCATTTACATTCAGTTTCAATTGACAAACCATGTGTATACCTGACATTTAACATGCAACAGAATCTGAAATTGAAATAAAATACTTACTGGAAGCTCTGGACATTCCACGCCAGGAATATTCTAAAAAGAAGATACAGACTGTTATTCTCTAATCAGTGAATTTTACCATAGTTGCCAATAAAATTACCAGCTTCACATCAAATATATGCTAATATATGTAAGTAGGAAATTGCTGGGTTGATTCCAAACTCATTTCAGACACAACGGCAGGATGAAGATTGTCATTAAGGGTAAACAATAATATGAACAATTTAATTTTGTACAAGTGGGCTTATTAACTAACCTCCAGATGTTCCTGTGCAGATTCCTCATGAAGTATATTCTGCAAAATGGCAAAATTCAGTTGAAAATGCTGATTATTAACAAATGATATTATTTCTTATGAGTAATACAATCCCACCAATCCATTTACGTTTTTTAGATCTTCATTGACATTAACTCATTTTAGTTAGACATGTTTTCATTGAGAAGGAATTACTGTAACTCACCTGAACTAGGGTTATTTGAAGGCCACGGCCATCATCATTATCACTGAATGCATACACCTATAAATAAGAAAATAAACAATTTACAGTGGGCATTATCATGTGTGTTATATTTTAAAGCAGATATGATATCAATAAGGAAAATTAGTTACAAGGTGTTTTCAAAGTGCCTGGAATATTGCCTGCTGTGCATTGAACAACCAACAACTGATACAAGTGAATGAACATGACAAGACAAAACAAAATACACAAGCACTACTATTATATTACTCATCATACATTGTTAAAAACAAATCAGAATTCACCTGGTGGGCATGTTGGCATGACTGGATGCAATATTACAAATACTTGGGAAGACATGACATTACAGTTTTGAATGATTATTATTGAAAACTCATTACTGACTTTAGTAAAAAAATAATCAGTCCAAATAGAAAATTATCCTCACATCAGGCTCAGGCGATCTCTCTGCCTCTTGCAAAGTTTCTTTATTCCGATGCTCTTGTAGCTGCTGTGATTTCTCTTTTCTCTGAAAAAGTGACGATGGTATTTCCAGACTAGGTATTTTTTTCCTATTTTCCTTTTCTTTCTTAATGCCTTACTCAAGCGCCTGTATATGACCGAGTGTGGTGTTATCTAGTGTTGGGAATTGGTTGAAATCTCATAATTGATGATTGGTTCATTATCAATCATCGAAAATAATTGGTGAGGGTCATTTATCAAATTTCCTGTAATGTTTGTTATTGCACACAAAAAATGGAAAATCATGTACTAGTAGTTCTTTGGTGTGTGTTTTTTTAAATTGCACAAAATGCATTTGCAAATTTCACATCTTAGAAGGAGGACTAGAATGTTAGGAATAAATTTCCTGGAGTCTTTAAGATAAATTCAGTCATGACTTTGAACGAGCTTGTAGTGCTTATGTAATGTTAATAACAGAGACAAAACCAACCTTGTGAAAAATATTGTTAATGTAAACAAGTAATCCAAAATTGTTTGTGTTTGATTATGAGAAAATATGATCAACTGCTTGGTTGTTTCGTCACTGCGACCCATCTTCGATTAATTCAATTAATCGGACCACCACTTGTGTTATCAGCAATGATACACCATCAAGAATGACACACAATCCAGAGTCTGACCACCCAACTGTTTAGTCACCCTAACTGACCAGCAGAGGTTTCTGGGGGCCATTTGTAAGCATGATTCCCAAAAGAATCAGAAAAATGAATGTACATTTACACAAGTGAACCATACCATCTTATCCAGTTCCTGTCTTAGTAATAGGTTCTGCATCCTCAGCTCCTCAATCAGTCTGTCCTTTTCTTTCAGTTGTTCCTTTAATACCAATACATAGGTAGCTGCCTCCTGACTGATTTCAGTTCCCTTCAAATATAATATACATGTCAATTCATTCTAATGCCAATCGCTATATAACCATATAAATGGTTCTCGTGTTGAACTTAACTGAAGGAGTTATTGTTTAGTCACAAAGTTTAGATCTGATTCTGTTATTTTACCTTGTTTGCTTGTTTAATCTGTTTCAGTTGAAGATTGAATTCTTCTTTGGAGATTTAACTGTTTCTGAATTCTGTCAACCGTCTGTAAAGGGTTGCCTCATCTTTGAAAGAAACAGTCTCCAAGAAAAGACATGTGTTCACTTTTGTATGTTTCTGCTCCTTTCGTTTACCAAGGCTGAATAAATCCATGATCTCAAGGATGAGGTGATAACATCTGTCAGATGTTGCAGCTACTGCAAGGTGAACTTTGAAACGACCACCAAAATGATGCTGGAAAGGCAAAATTAAGTAAATTGAAAAGAAAGAGCACACGTAAAAAACAATGGATGCATATATTAATAGGTTGAAGAACACAGGGGGAAAAGGACAACAATGAATTATAAGTGAACTGCTTCATGACATGCTCTAAGTAACACTTACACGTGATGGATCTGTAGGTTTCAAAGCCGCCTGGCACTGTTTTCTCCATTTATTATCCGCACTGCCAAGAGGGGTTGTCTCGCTTTTACCAGATCTTGGGTGAAGGTTGCGAAAAACCTGGATGAAATAAATAATGAAACATTTTACACACTGTACATTCATTAGTGCAGGAAGTATGTTTGGTCTGTAGTGTATAGAATTAAAGGGTGGGGACTTTGACTTATCGAAAAACTTGTTAGATTAATCTAAACCAACATAAACTTGGGATGTTAAATGACCCCATGCTTAATTTTGCATCAGTGATCTGTGGAATGGATCTACAGTGGAAACCGCCTAAGTAAAGACCGCTTAACTAAACAGACCGGATAAGTAAACACTATTCTTTGGTCCTGGCAAATTTCTTCATTAATTATCACTATTAGAGTTCGGTTAACTAAACTGGGATAAGTAAACAATACCGCTTAACTAAACGTCTTCTCACAGTCCCTGGAAGTAAATTACTTAACAAAAGAGACTGGATAACTAAATTAGTGATCACCACATAATCCGACATGAGGGGCAGTAGTGTCAGTCTCCAGTTAAACAAACATCCTACTTACAGCTCGCTGGCATCATGCAGTTGACAATACACTGACAACTGGAGGCCAGCCCTGTACATTGTATTAGTATAATTTACCAAGAAAGGAGTACTCAGTAAGATTACCTCCCTCCAATAAAAAAAACATGAATAACTTACCATTATTGTAGCTTTGAAATTTAGGGGTTGTACATCTGTAGGTGTGGTTTCTGACAGAGATGTATCCAGAGGGTTTTGAACCAGGTCAGCTCCTAAAGAAATAGGAGATTAAACTGATAAGAACTAAATTATAATATCATTCAAAATATATTAAATATTTTTTCTACCTTGATATGTAACTTTATATACACCCATCAGAATGTCAAGTGTATCCAGAAAGTCATAGGAATCCTCTCGTTTGTACAGGTCACTCCATAAGTTGTCAGTAACTGCATACTTGTGTATGGGGCACTCAATGTCGACATCATCATGAAGCTGAAATTAAAACCTTAACACTTAATACATTTGAGATAAGTTTTATACTTGTACCTCCACATGCAGCATTAACATCACTAGCGCTACAAGCTGCGACCGATAAACCGCGATGTTGCCCTCTGTTTGTACATCAAGGTATGTCGAATACTTATCAATATTTGTAATGTAAACGCCTACCTCAGCCAAGGAAATGTGTTCGAATGCTTTGGCGTTGCTGGTTAAATTCGAATTTCCGAGAGGCCCATGTCTACTAGGGAAATAAGGAAATGACTTGTAAGTCCAACAACATTATCCGTTGTCCGATGTAAAAAGTTCCGAATGAAACCATGACAAAGAATATTTAATACACCTTCCTGCGTTTTCGTTCTGCATAATCTAGAGTAGTTCCCCTTGAGTTTCAAAATAGGAATCGAAAGACGAAAAGAAAATATCTGCTCATCAATTTTGCACCCATCTTTTAGGGGGGTCGTCATTGATTTTGTACATGACATGGGGGTGGGGGTTTGTAGTCCACTATATATAGATTTAAGTGTCTGGGGTGGTGGGTGGGGTTTTGTAAATAAATAAAAATATCCTTTGAAATTATGGGAAGGGGGTTCATTGATTTTTTGTACAGGACATGAAGAGGGTCAGTTACTTTAAACGTATATCTTAGGGGTGCATTCACACTGTACAAGCCCCCAGATCATTATCACCCCATTCCCAACTACATCGGGAACAATATATTACTGGTCAAAGTGACAATACCCAAGAGGCAATTTAATTGCCTCGGCACCGCATGGACAATACGCGTCTTGGGTAACACCCATTACATGTTTTGTTGGTTCAGATCAACACCAGATGCTGATATTGTTCTTGACTTCAGGAAGACATTAACATTACTTCTTAATGCAATATACATTGGTCCTGCACAGTTATGTTTCATATCTAATTAATTACATCTTATAAATCATTTTTACAAACTGCTCGCATAGTAATATCAATAGGAATCATTTATATGGTACTTAAGCATTTATGTTGTTACCTAATATCTGTCTTCCAAAAAAAATCGGCTCTAGTGAAATAACAAAAATACCAAAAAAGGGTCGCCCAACACATGCATGCATTAAGGGAGGCTGGTCGATTCATGATACATGTATACTTTTCTACAAATTACATATAGATGAACAGGTGTTTGTGAAAACATTTCATTAATTGTTATATAGTTTGCTCTGCATAAAATGCCAATGTGAACAAAATAGTTTAATACGACATTCTTTGGTCGGCTTTTCTGTAAATCAAGCAATATAATATCATAACCCCTCACCTGTATAGTGACTGCAGTACGTTGAGCAGACGGTTTCACATTGCTGACTGCACGTGGTTAGGGATTGTTGCTGTGGCTGAAATACAAAGTACTATTTGTTACAGAAAGAGACTAAGTTGCCTGTGCCATTGTGCATTGACTGTTCATGAATGCGATGGGGCGGTTCATAATCTACCCGAATATATTCCAGCGGTATGGCAATGACTGTAGGCCTACTCAATGAGGCACTGAAGATGTTTGAGAAATGTAGGTTTACTCCGCCCAATCCGATTATGGGGTACCATCATTCAATACAAACGATACAAAAGTACATTATGGAGAGGGTAATTATACCTACCTGGTGGAGCAGCCAGATGTCCGCTCTTTGAAGTTGCCGACAAACAGGACGCATCATTGGAGCTCGCAAAGACAGCGTGTACACAGCTTCTCCTCAAATTTGCAGAACGATATGAATGTGAGATTTACCGTGCGTAAGTCAGGCATGACGTTTCACGGATATACACCCTCGTGTTTGTTTTGCAATACCAATCATCGACGCCCGACCTTTCTCAATGTGCAAAACTGGTGTGTATATAGTGGCGTGAGCAGATTTGTTATGTTCCATTTCGTTCATTCTTGGAGAGCGTTCAGTCAGACGGTGAAAAGAGACCTAATTATCAAGTCGGCAAATAACTGAAACAAGTATCAGGGAGAAGTACTGGATACCGTCATCAGCTATCAGCTCAGCTTCGACGTCGTTGCAATGGGTGAGAATGATTTCAATTTTTTCATTGATACCAAATACTGTATAAATCTCAAACAACGTCTGCTTTATGCTGGTATTGAATCCTTTAGAAATATACAATACGTTTCATTTGACATTGTCATTCATGAATGTTTTTCAACCGTTTATAGATCATACTGACGTCATCACCAGTAAAGACAGAAACCATTCTTCAAGACATCTGACCAAAAGGAAAGGCACAGAAAGAGGTAAGATGAATGTTCAAGGAATAGAATGTTTCAAACGAAATGGATGAATGAATGCTTATGACGGGAATATTTTCAAACAGTTTAAGGCCATATTATAGACGAATCCCCGGTGTGAATAAACAATATCATCAATATATGAGCGGCAAATCGTGAACCAAGCTGTCAAAATCATATCTGACTGACTGAGTTTAGTTTTACTCCGCTTTTAGCAATATTCCAGCAATATCACGGCGGGGGACACCAGAAATGCAAAATCATATCTGACCGTACTCACTACTTAAATTCGGAATAACAACCTTCTCCCTTCAGGCCGCCGATACAAAGTTCCAATTGTGAAAACTAAGAGAGCCCGTACATCCTTTATTCCAAGTACCATATCTCTCTTAAACAAATGTGAAGATACCTAAATCAAAGAATTTATGTAAATATGTTTGGTATCTCTCTAATGTGTCAGTAGCTCTGCTGACGTAACATAAATTCCTGAAAAGGCATTAAAGTATTATTCTATTCTATTCTATTCTCATTGATTCGTCTTAACAATTAAATTTCGTTTCGGACCTTAGCACGGCGCACACTTTTTTTATCATTGTAATAAGTTAAAGAACCACTAAACTTTGTTTTTTGTTACTCTTTTAACCATTACATATGAAAGATTTGTGGTTAGTCTTATGCGGAATACCAAATTTATTCTTTAAAAACTTGTGGTTAATTAATTCCGAGCGATTAAAAGTGGCCAAAAAGTCGCCTGCTTCACTCTCGCCCGCCAACGAAACCACAGACAGGTTACGTAACTCTGTCGCCAGAGCACTGCAGTGACGTCATATGAGGAACGATTTTCAGTTAGTTGTATAGAAAATGTGTAGCACGCTCATCATTTTGATGATTTCTCGACATCAACGACGACATGCCGAATCGTTGCTTTGTCGTCAATTGCTCCTAGGGGGTCGGGCGATGGTGTCCCCATGCACAGATTTCCACAGGACCCCGCAGTTCGTGCTAAAAGGGTTATGTTTGTGAGTGCGAAGCGAGCGTTGTGGAAGCCTGAAACGATATCTTACTTGTGTTCAGATCGCTCCACTGAAGTTAAAGAATCAAAACTACTTACTAGTTGTAGTAAAATATGCATATGATTGATGACCATAAAGATTTTCTATGACACAACTTGTAACATAACGATTTCTTCCTCGGAAGTGAGGTTGTGGTCGAAGTAACAATAATATTGTAAGTAGTATTATATTGACACCCACCTCGCTGCCACGAGAGAAATTGTTATGATATACGCTATGTCATGCAAAATCCTATTGGCCATCAATAAAATACATATTTTACTACCAGTAGAAAGTAGTTTTGATTTTGTAACTCGGTGAAAACAAACCTAAATACCATTTATCCTTAGACTGGCGGATGTTCCCGACAGGGCGCCGCCATTTTTAAAAATTAAAAAATCTGTTAGAATTAATGAGATTATAGTTTGTTTTCATCAAGTTAGAAAATCAAGACTACTTTCTACTCGTTGTTAAATATGTATTGGAATCATAACCAAACGGATTTTGCATGACACAACTTATAACATAACGATTTCTTCCACGGAAGCGAGGTGGGGGTCGAAGTCACAATACTGCGCGATAAATTTCTTGCTACATTCCCATGGTTAATGTCCACTCACCAGTATGTAGATACTAGTCAATGTGCGTCTTTATATTTGGTCTTATAATCCTAATTAGTTTATTATCACACTTGTATGCATTTTGAAACTAAATAAAAAGCTGACGATCTGCTGATACTTATAGTGAATTTATAACAGAACTGTAATATCTAGACATTTTATAGTTTGCCAATGTGAATCATAATTCGCACACACACCCTAGTGCATGTTGTCTGTCTCATTACACTTCACGGCTAAAACAATGATTCTGTTGAATGCTACGACAAATGAATAAAAACAAAATGCAAATATTAAAATTAAAACAGATTAAAGTTATAGGAACAATATCAGGCCATTACCTTGTTCGAGGAATGTATCCATCAATATCCACAAAACTGTTCCAAATGATGTGTCTTTTAACAGTTTAATATACGAAAAAGTGATAAATCTTTTCAGGTATTGGTGTATTGTCTCATTGGTCACCCAAGATAGCACACCTGGCAACTAATTGCATAATGTCCGCCTTTCTTTAAAAACAGTAATTTAGTTAGCCAATAATGGGCAATCAATCAATGTATTGCCGGTTAATCCTTTGAAAGAAGGACGATGTTTTTACGCAGACACCGACACGACAGAGTGTATTCAGTATAGATTAGTAAATCTACATACATAAACACTACCTTTTGACAATTCCGCTGTGTAAGATAAAAGTAATTAATCAATCAGCGTGTTATCGGTTAATCCTTTGATCGATGTTTATAATGTTGAATATTTACTCCAGACACAAGAAATGCCAAATGGGAACCTTTGTCGGGTAATCTAAGTGTGTTACCACTAATTATACCTGTTATAAATTCATTAACTGACCATCAAGTGAATGATGACAAATAACATGTGTAGGTTTATACCACCTAACACGGGTTACAACGAGGGAGTATTAATTGCTGTATTGCATGTGAAAACTTATGGGCCGACACTGTTTTGAGAATACAAACAGATTTTTACATGACATGATTAAATATCGAGGTAAAACAACACAGAAATGGGATCAATTTGGATCAGTCATTATACAAATAGGGCCTAACGACACCAATCGATTTTGACAGAATCGTCTATGAAAACAAGTTGTAACTCGGAAACTAGGCAAAGCAGGAGACAAAATTAAATGACAGTAGATCGTGAGAACATATAGCTTTCATTTTCCACAACAATTGTCACGATTTCAGGTTTATACAAGCCTGTGAACACGATAATTTACCCCCTAAAATGTAGATGAATTCTGCATCGGCTCTCAAAGCTATTCCTCATATGACGTCACAGAGGCGCGCCGCTCTGATTGGTTGAAATTTCGTTCGCGGGTGAGAATTGTGCACTGTTGTCAAAAAGGTCGATTTAAGTCAATTAAAGGTCGAAATGAGTAGTTTTAATGACGGGGTTTCATTTATAACGATGCCAGTTAGTGATTTATGTATTTGTACCCCCTAGGGTTTATGTGACCTTTAAGAAAGCATGCAAGAGATACGAACGTAGATACTGGTTTGCATTGCATCTGATTAGCGTTACCTACGTGCTGTACCGGTAAGTGTCATTTGTGGCTTGTGGTAGGGGTGGCATTCCTCAAACCTTTATCTGACCTTGGCAGATATGTACATGACACTACGTACTGAACACAGTAGAGTCGCTGATACACATATTGGCGATAATTATTTTGGATGTCAACTTCACAGAACTTAGGAAGGCGTTTCCTATTCTCGCGGTACTTACGGATATCGGCTGAAAAAATAACATAATCAATTCTTATCGTATGAATGCTTGTTGTTTTTAAATGAAGGGCCTTCTCCTCTATCATCTAATGATATGTCCAAGTTGGTATAAACTCCCCAATATTCGTGACACTGCAAGATTTTGATTATTCACCGACTTGGTCCACTTCCTAGTTACCAGTCGGTGATGTAAACAACCGCTAAGTGTCACGCATCGGCGATTTCGGCAGAAAACGTATTTACCGCGAGAATAGGAAACCCGCGAGAATAGGAGACGGACCTATACTACTTCAAAGAAGTTGGCATCCATAAATTCTCGCCTTTATGTATGTTTTTAGTTTCTTGTTCATGGATCAATTAATTTTATGGTGTAGCCCAGTAATTCAGTACCCCAAGCCCAGTAAGTCAGATCCAGATCAGTTGACCACAGTGATTGCTAATTACCTGGAATAAACAGGAAGTGGCCTACGAATCCAGGACAAAATCCACCCGGACAAAATCCACCCCAAAATTGCAACCTAGGACAAAATCCACCCGGACAAAATCCACCCCGGACAAAATCCACCCCTAATAAATGCCACCCTAAGAAAAAAAAAATAATGACATGTTTGGTCACAGAAATGAATTTTATTCATATCAGTCATTCATAATCAATAACAAAAAAAAGGCTTGCAAAAACATCTTAATTCTTTAAGGGGATTACGTAATGATCAAAGTGTGAGACTACTTAATGATACATGAAAGAGGATTAAGTAGTGATCAAAATGTGACAAATGGAGAAACCTTTAATGTTTGAAACAACATCTAGGAACAACAGCCAATTAGGAAAACGAAAATGCTATCAAAACAATGCTTGCAATGCTTGAGCAAAAAAAACTCGATCAAAGATCAGGACACACTAAAACTTTTAACAATAGCAATTTGAGAAGGGTGGATTTTGTCCATTTTATTTTTAAGAAGAGGTGGATTTTTGTCCGGGGTGGCATTTTGGTGTGGATTTTGGTGTGGATTTTGTCCAGGTGGATTTTGTCCGGTCACCGTGGCCTACACAAGAAGGTGTGTCAAGGCTGATACAGGTGGAAGTATGGTGAAATACACACCTGCCCAAATCAATAAAATATAATCTTTAGACAGGATTAAATGCACACGTTTGCAACCTGCATTAGAATATGTTTACAGCTTGATTCAGTATTGAAGAATAAAACACTTTCCATAATACAATATGGCATTACATGAAATATATATAAATTCTATATGAATATATTCCAGTCTCAATGTAAAAGCCATCATTATAATATTACAATCAAAACCCTTTGAAGTTATTTATGGTCAGATGTTTTTACATGATACCTAATATTTATACTGTGCCTTGGTGATTGGAGAGCTTGGGGAAAAAGACAAGAATGTTTCTGGGATTATTCACCATATCGACCTGAGGTTTCAAAAAGTCATCCAGCTTATTTTCATGAAAACTGACTGCCTGAGTTTGGTTTTACGCCGCTTTTAGCAATATTCCAGCAACATCACGGCGGGGGACACCAGAAATGGGCTTCACACAATGTACCCATGTGGGGATTCGAACCCGGGTCTTCGGCGTGACGAGCCAACGCTTTAACCACTAGGCTACCCCACCGCCCCTTTTCATGAAAAAGATATCTCGACTAACATGTGTACCACTAAAATATTTTATGATTTGAGCCGTTTAAGATGTCATTGTGAACTTTTCCCTTACATATCATAGCATGATTGCGTGAGTGTGAAATGTATATATGTATTCAGCATCCAGGGTAACCTTGTTGAATTGATTAATGCACTACCCATGAAGATTGTCAAATCTGGTTTAATGACCTGAATCTCGTAATTATAAATATAATAGTCTACTGTGCAAATCATAAATCTGCCTCACGTGTAGTACAAATTTAATGAAAGAATTGTATACTAACATTTATTGATATTTCTATTAACTTTATGTACAATCATTCACGGAATCAATAATAATTTCTATTTTTCACATATAGGAGGCCAAACTCTTGTGAAGAGAAGACTGGTCAAATTTGAAGATTTGACAAGTGGGTCAGGATTACTGTCCACAGGTATGTTCATTAAATTCAATAGAGATGTCAGTACATTTCGTGTATTTATGTTGTCAATGTGACACTGACCCTCTTCAATTTTTAACGGACAGGTGGAGCAAATTTGATTTCTGGCCTTGGGTAAGTTTGGAGGCATTGTGGGTTTATGAGAATGTTTTTGATTTGTATCAGAGGGAACAAGTGGGACAGTATTAATTTGTTTGTTTATTACATTTTATAGGGATGCTAATATTTTACTTTTATATTATATATATAGTAGTAACTTTATGTTCTCAACTCTGTGACATTATCTGGTGAAACTGCTGTCTTGCAGGTTTCAACATCATTTCAGTTACAATGTATATCATGTACAACTGGAATGCTGTTCAAACCGATGTCAAACCCAATCACTCACTTCATTTGAGCTATAATGCCACAAGTCACAGTTAAAGTGAATGAACGAAGCCTTACTATATTTTATTGTAAGGATATTTAGGGCTCATTAAATCCAAAACTTGATACACAAAATTATTGGAATAAATGTTTCATTCAGTAATACTAACAGTATATTCTCTTCAAATTTGTTGATGTAACTTGAGCTGAAATTAGCCATTAGCACATGCACAGTTCTCAAAACAATCTGTACCAATAAGGGTCCAGTTTGTAAAGTTGTTTCAGTCTATCATTAAGGCCCATACCACAACCATTTGTTGTGTGTCTAATTGAGCTTTATATTTATATGGATGTGTTAGCATGCATCAGCCTCCATGTACTTAAAATTGTTGGTTTATTCAAAGGTTGTGAATAACCAAAATGACTTTCTAATCATTCTTTCAATCTTTACATAGGAGGCCAAACACCTGTGATGAGAAGATTGGTCACATTTGAAGATTTGTCAAGTGGGTCAGGATTACTGTCCACAGGTATGTTCATTATATTGAATAGAGATGTCAGTATTAACTTTATGTTGTCAATGTGACACTGCTGCTCTGCAGGTATTTTCAATTTTTAACGGACAGGGACAGGTGGAGCAAATTTGATTTCTGGCCTTGGGTAAGTTTGGAGGCATTGTGGGTTTATGAGAATGTTTTTGTTTTGTCTCAGAGGGAGAATATAATTTTACAACTAAATAATGATGTATTTCATTTGCAGGAGCAGAAAAGACACCACCAATTCTCAGTCAGACAGCTGTTGACAATGCAACCCAAGGTATTACTTTTAGTGCTATTGCAGAATAGACATGTATCAAAATCATGTACAGAATATTTTTATCACTGATTGTACTCAATTTGTAAAGTGATAGCAATGTTTACAAATGCATTGACCCATGACGATTGGTTTAAGATTGGTCTTCACCAACCCATGCATGTCAGTGGGCGATCGTGTAGTCAGGTTTGCTAACCTACTTGACAGCCGAATATAATGCTCAATCACTAGATTTCTGGTTCTGTGTCATATAGCTTGAATATTATCGAGCATGGCGAAACAAACCAAACAATAATTTTCTGTTTAATGTTGTATTTCAGTGGCACCGTTTTCAAATGAGGAACCATATTCTGACAGACGGCCAATTAGATCTGTTCCAAGTGAGTGCAAAATTTATCCTCTCTAATGGTTATTGAATTGTTCTATTGTTAGGATGTAGCAAACAAAATAAGAAATTCATCTGTGAATGTCTTACAAGGAATGCATAATCCCTAAAATGTTCAATGTTCACACATTCAGTGATTTTTAGACATAATCCTGGAAAGTGCTTCATTTATTGTTGTTTCAAGATTTCCTAAATTAGAACAGATGTATTTTTGACAATTGTTAACATTTTCGGAAGTTTTAAAGTTTCTCAAATGATCCATACTAACTCATGCGCAAGTTGATAAAATGAGACTGATTATGTCTCTCTTTAGTTATTATTAACACTGCATTGTAGCTAACTGTTCCATCAACCTGGCTACAAAAAAACATGTATATGTTTTCTTGGAAAACATTTCTGTCTCATTACTCAAAAACTAGAGAGATTAATTCTTCTAGCAGCCACAAATGAAGCAGTTTCTGGTCTGACATATGGTGATCATGTATATGCAATAAAAGAATATGTATATTTCTTGACAGTATAAATTCAATGAAAATGAATTGCACATAATCACTGATTTGAGGTATTGTCTGTAACGTATGCCATGTTGGGGAGTCAGGGTCATTTATGATATTTGAAGGGAAACATAATGCACTGGAAGTTCAAGGACATCAACCTAGATATTGCTTCAGATATAGTTACGATTGAAAATGTTTTGCAGGGGAGAGGTCAAAGAGATGTGGACAACGAGAACAGAAGGCATTAATATCACAAGACATAAAAGAAGCTTTGGTGACCAAGTGCTGTGTGAAAGAGTGCATGAAGAAACTGTCTTTTGAAGTTATCCACCAATTGAGATTGTCGTTTTGGAGGAAGACACAAACCAAACAGAGCCGCTTCATCAACAGTATTTTGAGAGCAGTCTTCAGATATCAGGAACAAAGATTGTCAGATGTTCTTTTCACCCTTGAAGGCCATGAAGTTTGCAGTGTTTGTTGGTGTACTGTATTCAAGATCAGTAAAACCAGGTAAGTTAGGCATAATTGTTGAGGTAATCTTGTAAAGGTGAAGAAAAGACAGATCTTTCGTAAATTTCTTTCAGAAGTGGGTTTACGGAATCTTTTTTCATCCTATTTGTGTATGTAGGAATTGTGTTAAGTACAATGTTGTGATATATAATGAAATTTATTTTTAGATATTTTCATCATGGGAGAGCTGTGAAGGACTGCCTACCACAAAAGGTTGATCAAAGATCTGATCAGAACTATGATTCCTTGAAGTACCTGGAGGCAAAAGTGTGGCCGGATCAGTATTTCAAAAGGTAGGTTTGCATGTACATTTCTAAAGCATCATCATATCATCTTTATTATTATTGGTGGTTATTCTTTGTATGACACAGCATCTAATATACTGAATATACTCATGTTGATAGCTTTGTTTTCATATCAGTGCAAACTGTCTAAGATAGCTCCTGTTCTTCCTTTGCCCCATCCATTTCCAAGGGTCTTAAGTAATCCGCTGCTTGTCTCTGTCCTTGAAATCACAGTGTGAAATCACTGATCAATGTAGACAGACAAAATATTTTTGTATGTTTGTTTTGAGACATAGAGACCACATGCCGCACAAGACTGAAATCCAGCTGCCATCTTGCCTTACAAAGAGGCAAATCTTTGACGCCTATGTTGAAGATAACAATGATTAGGGCAAACCGGTGATGGGGTATAGCCGTTTTAAGGAGCTCTGGAGAGAGTTCTTCTCATCCGTGAAAATACTGAAGGTGAGTAGGGTATACCAAGTACTAAGTTGTCAACATTTGTTTCATGTTACTACAATTATATAAACTACTGTGATACCTCTGTAATTTTTCGGTACAGTGTTCTCACAGCTTGAAAGATGCCATTGACAAGTGTTATGAATAAATACAAAATCATGATGATGTTGAAATTGTTTACATCTGTTCCAGTCAAAGGATTTCACACAATGCTCTCTATGCATCGTGTATAGAGATGCACTACAAAGAAAGAACTTGGCAAAGGAAGAAGTCATGGCCTTGAAAGAAGCAAAACAGGGACACTTAGCTTTGCAAAGGTTTGTTATTTCTGTAATAATGAATGAAGTTGATGAAAATGTAGTTTGAAAAATGGATTTTGCATCACAAGATATTAAACATGAGAAAATAATATTAGAAACTCACAAAAGGGCCACTCGCTGCTTTGTGGTTGTTTACAGGTTCAGTGTATGTATGTAAGTATATTGTTTTCCTATTTTAAATGTTTTGTGTTTGCAGGCTACTTCGAGAGAAGTATTATAAACATGGGGACAAGGCAAAGAGGTCACCATCCAAGTATGTGTCCCTCATCATTGACAACATGGACCAAAACAAGACAAACCTTCCTGTATTTCCAGAACAATCAAAGGTACACATGTGTGATGATTACATATTGAATCACAGGTTCCTTAAAACATTGAACAGTTGAAACTCATATTTCCAAAGCTGAATATCAGAGAGAGAGAGAGAGTTTTATTCAGTAAAGGGGCCACAGGCCCATTATACATCAGGTGTACAGAATATACAATTATTGGAGCACCGTACAACATCATGAGAGCTGCACAATTATACATTTGTGGGTACGAAGGCTGAAAGAAATTTATTTCGTTTTTTCATGGCAAAGAATAGATATTTTGCAAGACAATTTATAGTATAAGTATTCTTTGATGTAAACAACTGGGCTAATTTCACTTCAGATGGATATATGTGATAATATTTAGGGAGGATATCATTTCTTAATTTCCCATAAAAAGGGCATTCCAGGCAAAAGTGATATTCATTTTCTATGTTAGGTATGATACAAAGCGGGCACAGGCGATCCTCCCTTTTAAGACCTAAATGTCTACCGTACTCTATCATCAAATTATGGTTTGAGCAACGAAATCTACTTAAGAAGATTCGAAACTGTTTTACACTAACACTATCGAGAACTCGAAAGCTATACCTGCTTTGAGCCTGCGATAAAAATCCAATTTCGAAACAAGTATAATACGAGATGACCACAACTGGTTATCTATATCAATACATCTTTGCTTAAATAATGATATGAAGGTAGAGATATTTCCAACACTTTGACTGGCCCACACATTGCCAAAACCATAACTGTACAAAAGAGATTTCACCTTAAAAGCCCAACAATCTATACCTTTTTCAGCAAGACAATACTGATACTCATATACCTTATTTAAGATTACATTCTCAACTTGAGACAGGAGGCGAACCCAATATTTAACAATCTTAATGTACTGATTTACCTTTAATGAATGACGACCAATCTCAGCACGAGCTGCAATATTTGGCGTGTATCTTGAGAGACCCAAAACCTGTTTACAGAACCTATCGTGTACATTCAATACAGATGGCGACGGGTGGAAACCCCAGACTTCGCTTCCGTATAGTAACAATGGCAGAACCTTGACATCAAATATGTGGAGCAAAACATTAATTGGTAGATTATAAAAATTCTTAACCGATGATCTGAAAATATTCAACACCTTCCATGCTTGGTCAGCCAAAGTTTTCTGTGTAATATACCATGATCCAGAGGAAGAGAAGTGAACACCCAAGTATTTATATGATGCGACAATTTCAAGCAACTGTCCATTCAAATGGAACTTTTCATAATGTCTTAGTCGACCAGCCTTCCTGAATACAATAACTTTACTTTTATCAAGATTTATTTTCAATTTCCACTTGTTGCAATACGAAACTAGCTTGTCTAGCCTCTTTTGCAGACCTATAACTGTAAAGTCAAAAAGCGCAATATCATCAGCAAACAATAGGATGAACAGCTCAACTAAGTCTAGATTGATACCCCTCTGACCATCAGCAGATAGACAATCAACAATATCGTTGACAAAGAAGGAAAAGAGAAAGGGAGATAACGGGCATCCCTGACGAACTCCTGATAAACAATCAAAAAAACGGTGTGTAACCATCTCTCATCGACACACAAGCTTTAACATTTTGGTACATATTTTTCAATAGCCTGTAGGTATTACCTTTCACGTTGCCAAGCCACAGTTTGTAAAGGAGACCACACCTATCGACTGAGTCAAAAGCGGCCTTCAAGTCAATAAATGCACAATAGAGGCGACCTTTGTAAAGTGAAAGATATTTATCAATTATAGCATTAAGAATAAATATATTATCATGTGTTTGGAAACCATACCTGAACCCAGCTTGTTCGTCAACGAAGAATTCTTCCCTTTCAGCCCAAGAGTTTAACCTGTTGTTGATAATTTTACAAAATATTTTACCAGTTACTTCAAGCAGTGTAATAGGTCTATAATTCCCAGGGCAATCAGTTTTACCTTTCTTATACAAAGGAATTATAACTCCATACGTCCACTGAGATGGATAAATACCTGTAGACAAAATGCTATTGAAAAGAGATTTCAATAAATCAATACAATGATGAGGTGCATTTTTAAAAAATTCAATTGGAATGCCACTGAGTCCTGGTGCTTTTCCATTATGCATTTCATGAATAGCATTAATTATTTCTTGGTAGGATATTTCTTTATCCAAATAGTCATTGTCCACAGATGAATCAATAAGTCTATCACTGATTGAATCAACAAAATGATTGACAAAAATATAGAAGTGTTCTTCATCGGCTGAACAATAGGAAGACTGAAAAACATTCTTGAAATGATTCATCCAGTCAAATGGTGTAATATTATTGTTTACAAATGATGATTTCGATTTCACAGTTCTCCAGAATAATTTACTGTTTTTAGTAGAGAGTACGTTACTAAGTTTATGTGTGTAATCTGAAAGTGATGAAGACAGTTTCACAGCACACAACTGTTTATAGTGTGACACAGACTCAACATAACGTTGTCTATCAGATTTACAGTTACTTGCTTGAAATGCACGCAGAAGGCGCCGAGCGGTATCACGTGCACTCTTGCATTCACCGTCATACCAGCTGTCTCCCTTTGGAACATTATTTGTCGACAATACACGAGATTTACAGAAACTGGCACATGATTGCATAACCGTATTAAAAAAGTAACGAGGCCTCTTGAACATCACCGTTATCAATAAAGGAATGAAACTGGTTTATAACATCGGGTGGTAATACATCCCAGTTGTGCAGGTATTCTAGTAGACAGTTATTGTTCCATCGATATCTAGTTTTAAATGAAAGATTGTGGAAACGTTCATTATTATTCAGTGTCAATGAAAACGAAAATGTTATTGGCAGATGAGTCGACTCAACTTCATCGGACACTTTAAAATCATCAAAAAAGTTCAAAAGCATTGTCCGAACAAAGCACATAGTCAACAACACTTTGTCCATTATTGGCAAAACATGTTATGTTACCTTTACCTTTATCATGAAATAGACGGCCGTTACATATTCTCAGGTCCAATGTTTTGCAGAAGTTCAATAGGGCATAGCCACGTTTGTTGATCACAGTGTCACGTGATGCACGTGGTTCGATGGCGTCGTCGGTTATATAATCTATGTCATCATCAATCGGGAGATACCTCGGGTCATCATTAACAATATAATCTTTGTAACATCCATTCCCAGTGCGTGCATTCAAATCACCTTGAATTATAATTCTAGAATCAGGTTCATTTGATCTGAATTTGTTTACATCATCTTCCAAAAGAGTAAAAATAGCTTCATCAGCATGTGCACTGGACCTTGCAGGAGAATAGTAAACAACACCCATAAATATGGAAAAATGATAAACTGGTACACGCACACGTAACCATAGAATGTTGTTACTTTCCGTCGAGATTAATGACACAAATTCTGAGACAGTGTCGGCGATTAATACAGTTATTCCACCCGAATTTCTAATGGCGCTGGCATGTTTTTGTCTACACTTCCCAAACACTGTATATCCTTGAAACAATAACTCCT